GAAAATTTGGAACTTTGGTTGCAATTAGTTCATTGTTTTTTCTTTTCTTATGTTTTTTTTATTTAAATAGAAGGGTAAAATCATTAAAAATGGATGAAAATGACCTTTTGCACAATGAAAGGTGAAAAGTAGGGGTAAAAATGTCAAAAAATAAAAGATAGGGATGTTTTGTGCCAATTACCATATATATGTATGTATGTATGTATGTATGTATGTATGTACGTACGTACGTACGTACGTGTGTGTGTGATTGAGTGAATGACATATATCTCATGATCAACAATTTGATTATCCATTATGAATGACAGTTTAACAATGCATCATAGAAAAGTAATCATGGTCATCGAGATATCACATTATATAGATAAATCATATTAGGGTCATGTAGTAATGTAGATAGGTCATGTAAAAATATCATATAGCATCACACCTAATAATGTAGCACCATGATTTGTTAGTTCAAATCGTCGATATTCACCTCGTCAATGTAGTCAAAATTTGCTTATACCAGCGTCTGCAATTTAGCCCTCATCATATTACCTAATTGGGACAACTCAAAGGTGGGGTCGACAACTGGAACTAAAAATACCAAAAACTAGAATTCTCAGGGGAAAATGAGGACATAATTGTCAACTTCCATGGATGCAGGGTGTTGATACCGCGCCTTAATGGTATGGAACATTTTAATATAGTTATCCTCCTTTTGTCCCTAAGATTGTCGACTGGCACACTTTCCCCCTATTTATAGAAGAAAATAGGGGCTTAACTATAATTTTGATTTCTACTAATTATATTTATAATCCGAAAATAATTCTTGCAATATTTTGTTTTTCAAAAGTTTTGCAAACAAGTTTTTATATCCTATAACTTTAATTAAGATTCCTAAAAAAATAAAGAAAGTTTTTGAGATGTTACAAGTACACTTGGGAGCTTGTTTGAACAAACCGACATGCCTAGTTTTATATTCTAAAGCATGATTGTTTGACAAAATTAAACTCCATGTGTCTGATGCATCACCTAAATACATAACAGAATGGTAGTTGTTATTCATGGGCTCAATGGTCTTTGATGTTATAATGAGTTAGATCAATAGAAATGATCAAATACCTTGGTACGTTAGGAAGTCAGAGCACAAGAAGTAGTAAGCATGAATGCATATAGAAGTCGTTACTTGACCTTATGGATAAATGAATTCACTTTAGTATTTTCTTTGGAGTATTTTAAATCTGAACTTAGTATTTAGAAACAATTAAATGTATAATGTGATTTGATATAACTTCAAATCTTAATATCCTCAATCATCAAATCGCCATTGGTCTTCAAAGCCCCTAAATCATGCTACGGCCGTCGCTTGAAAGCTCACCAAAAATCAGCAATAATCGTCGGAGACTTTGACAACCCCACTTTTGAGATTCCTAAATCTCCAAAAATGACTCTACCTGAAACTCAATTTCTCAATTTTTATGATTTTTTATTTGTTTCTATATTATTTTGATATGCCTTTAAACAATTTGAAAAACGGTTGTTACGTGCCATAGAAGTTCAAGGTCGAAACTCAAAAACACCAATCAATGGAGAGAGATGAAGAGGAAACCTTCCAAGGTAGTAGTAGAAGCCACGGGCAAAAGAAAAAATGTGGCCTTACATTCAAAAATAAATCCTTTTTTTTTTTTCGCGGATTTTAATTGGTATACGTTATTTTAATGAATATATTATAACCAGATTTATGTTTTTATATTACTGATTTCGGAAAGTTGTTGCCACCAATTTTCAAATTTTGTCTTTCTGATTTTTTTGGAAACTTCATGTGACTGAACTTAAAGAGCAGATTCTTGAACATTTATGGAGTTTTGCGCATTCATTAGAGAAGATTATATGAACAATAATTAGAGTTTTGCTAGTCCTAAAATAAGGACTAGCAAATCAATTTCTTTGTGACCGTTATTCTCTTATTTTGGCAAAGCAGATATTGCAAAATCTATATTTTCCTTTAATGCTCTCTCTTGTGTATAAATAAAGCATAGTATCACTTGTACAAAATTAACCAATGAAAACTTTTACTCTTGAATTTCTTTATGACATTAGTGTCGGATAGTGTTTGCACGTCGAGTAAATATATTTATACTCACACATTTTGAAGTAAAATATTATTTTATATTTTGAGTGCTTAAATTGTTAAGAATGGAATGTTTGGTTTATAATTCTATTGAAATTTTATGGGCCATGATAATAAGACCGTCTCAATTTTGTTAAAGTTCATCTTTTGAATTTAGTATTTTGTTTTAATAATAAGATTGAGTGCCAAATTGAATGTATTAGGTTGAACAACGTGAAATTTAAACTGTGATCTTGATCGCGTGCATTTAATCCAACTTGATTATCGTTAATAAGATGTTAATTCTGAGCCGGTAATTAGTGGTGGCAATCGAGCCTAGCAGCTCGTAAAAAGGTAGCTCCCCAGCACGAGCCAAGCAAGTCTGGCTCGCTCTTGGCTTGCCCATGGGGAAGCCCATTAGCTAGCCCACGAGCTAACTCATGGCTTGTTTTGAAATAGTGATCGTTTTGATCACTATTATAGTTCGGTGACCGTTTGCAAATAGTCAATGAACTTGCAAAGTGGCCATTTTGGCCACTTTATTTATTTATTATTATTTTTTTTACTTTATAAATACCCCAACCCATTTCTAAGTTTTTTTCACACAACAATTCTTGTTCTCGTCCTTCTACACAATCTACTACTACATTTTTAATTTTCTACCTTCAATTTCAATTATTCAATATCATTATATCAATTAGAATTACCAACTTACCATGATACAAATTTACTTACTTATACTTACTATATACATTGACACTATACATATTCTATATATTTCATCACAAGTTCACAATTAACAAATGAATCCACACTCGTTTGTTAAGGGCCTGTTCGATGGTGTCGGAGGCGAATCACCTATGACACCACAAAGTCAATTTCAGATTGAATTTGTTGGTCTAAACAAAGTACCAATTCTCGAAAATATTCCAGATTTCGATACTCATGGAAGTAGTAATCCAATTGATCTGGATGATGTTAATGTTCCTGAAGCGAATTACGAGGAGGAACATAAATTATATATTCCCGATACAAGAAGGAAGTAAAAGGGAAAAAGAAGGCAAAATGATGGGATCACTTTAAATTAATTCCAACAGGTCGATGGAGTTGTAAAGCAGTATGTAAATACCGTCAACAACAATTAGCATGCCAGAAAGGGCATTGGTACCACCCACCTGAATTTATGTGCTTTAATTCAACTCTATTTTCAACTCTATTTTCAATATGAGCATTTGCTAGAAATTTGAAATCTTAACTAAATCATGACTTATTTGAATACTAACTTTATCAAAATTAAACGACAAAAATCTAACTTGAACTTACTACAACTTATCTCACAATATTTTCAAGGCAACAAGTAACTAACATGGACTAAAAGTTAGCGTACTCAATGCATGGCCACTTAAAGCACATAAATTGGGAACAATAAACAATGGCACAAATTTCTTTTTCCTTTTCTTTTTCTTTTTTTTTTTAATAAAAATTTGGAGGAAAAACTGTCATTTAAATATATAAATTATTGGTTGCTACACTCAAAATTGTATTGTTAAAGTTTTATTCTTTCTGCGCCCTCACATGGACAAGGTTTACAAGAAATTACAAGTATAGATGCAACAAACTAAAATCATAATGCCTTAGCTTCATTTATGCTATTCTTCTTGCATGTCTTTTGTTTCATTTTTTTCAACTCTATTTTCAATATAGAATACAAAAAAGACTCAAAGACTTTTCAGTAATTACAATTTTCACACCTTCATTTTCTTGTTCTTATTTTTATTTCTTCCAAATTCTTCAGCTCTACTGTTGAGTATTCAATTTTCTTTTCCTATTTTTTTCCTCGAGTCTTCAAGAGAGTGTTCTATTATTTTCCTTCTGTCTTTGCATTCTTGT